TTTACAAAGAGAGGAATCTTCAAATCGGTTGCTGAAAGACTTTTATTTAAGTTGGCCTTATTAAATAAATCTCCTAACTGTAGCTTTATTGCGTACGTAATGATCAACTTTCCAACCTTAAAAGAAGAAGTAACAACTTTAAGTGCATTATGATAAAAAAGACCCACATAGTGTTGGTTGAATAGTTGAAATTTGTCACCTCCTGGCTCAACACACACATGCTTTCATCAAAGGTATTTCAAATCTCAGCACTTACAGTGTCACTTTTGATATTTGTCTAAAATCATGAAATATTGGCTTTTACTGTTGAAAAAAAATTATATACTCCCATGTTAGTTACAGGTGCAATGGGCAGTTGGTTCTTGTTTTTCAACCATTTGCTTCCTACTCGAAAGACACAAAATATCTAGTTTTTCTCATTCAGAAGCAATCCAACCAATCAACAATCACATTTGTTGAGTCACAACTAACTTTAAGGTAATTTCTTGGAACTATGCATATTCATATGTAATAGAACTGTCAAATGATGAAAAGGAATGTTCCATAGCTGACCAATAGGTTAGTTATTTTGTAAATATTTGTATATATCTGTTAAACACTTGCATCTTATAGTGTCATGCCCCATTCAAACAATTGACAAAACTGTTGCATTGGAAAGTAATCAGACATTCTAAATTTCCAGTCACCCTTATCATGTGCTTTTTGACGATATCCCCACAACAATGAACTGAAATACACAGTGCGGTGAACCACAAAACATATCATCCCAAGAACTTCACAGGAAAAGCCTGCAGAGACCTCTAGCATACACACAGTGTGTATTAGCTCTGTGTAGGGTGCTGTTATTGACCGTTTGCTAATGTATGATCTGTAAATAAATAGGCATGCTTCATGATGTGTGTAGCATTGTTTTTTAACCTCACTTTTGTTCAGTGTATAAACTTGTGTAAATAAATGAGCAACATAGGTTGTTTCGGCTGCTGATATTTTATTCTATGGCGAATAATGTTTCATGTTGAAAGAAAAAGAAAAAGTACAGGGTCATGATTGTAAGCATACTTACATTTCAGAAGACTGTTGTTGTGAATAAATGATCTAGGTGGTGTTATTTTTAATTTCTTGGCAATCGCTTTACATGATAGGGAAATCTACTGATTTCTGTTTCTGATTGCCAAACCAATTTTCAGTAAAACATTGCATAATATAAAATAATAACTCTAAATGAACACAAAATAATGATTTAAAAACACAAATAATAAAATGCAATTCTCATGACCACTTCTCTCATACATTTTCCACATCTATTTCATTACTTAATTTCACCAGACGTAGCAAGAAAGGCTAGCCATGGACTACTATCATCCTTGGGGTTAATGAGGAGCTACTTAACATATGTGGCCACTTTGACCTACTGCTGTCTGCACCAGCCAGCTCTGCTGAGGCAGAAAGAGAATTCAGCAAGATGAAGATGTTCAAGACCAATCAGAGATCTTGTCTGGAAGATGAAGATGATCAAGACCAATCAGAGATCTTGTCTGGAAGATGAAGATGATCAAGACCATTCAGAGATCTTGTCTGGGAAACTGACAGGAGACTAAATGCTGGCAGGGTCCAGATGGAGAAGCAGGTGCAGGAGAGTGACGAAGAAGGGGAAAAAGAAGAATCCAAGAAATGGATGTTGGGAGATCATTGGACACTGACACTAATGCATACTAGATTTCCTTTAAATATTTTATTTTGATTAGAATAGGACACTAAATTAAGTTTAATTCATCACCACCTAAGCCATTTTAGAGTTATTTGCAAGTTTTATGTATGTTGCTAGTTTGAGGATTTTGCTTATTACAAATTAAAATTCATGAATGACTAATTAACAGCTGTTTCAGATTTGAAAAACTGATTGCTATAAAGTTAGTAGTGATGTAAATAGTCAAAAGTGTTTGACATTTTATTGACAAGTATGTGTCAGCTAGATGGTAATGGGTTATATGGGAACAAGAATAGATTATACTGACAGTGATGCAGAGATTTTCTTTCATTATTTATTTTGATTATTAAAGGACACTACTTTAAAGACAAAAAAAGTTACTCTTATACCATGCTTTAGAGAGAAATTAAAGATCATATGTAAAATAAAATTAATCTAAGTGGTCTGAAAAAATGAAGTAGTTTGAATTGTATTTCTTTTCCATGAACTATTTGTTTGTTACGAATTTCACGCAAAGCTACATGAGGGCTATCTGCACTAGCTGTCCCTAATTTAGCAGTGTAAGACTAGAGGGATGGCAGCGAGTCATCATCACCCGCCACCAACTCTTGGGCTACTCTTTTACCAACAAATAGTGGGATTAACCGTCACATTATAACACTCCCATGACTGAAAGGTGGAGCATGTTTAGTGTGATGGGAATTTGAGCCCGCGACCCTCAGATTGCGAGTCGAGCACCCTAACCATTTGGCCATGCCGGGCCTTTTTCATGAAATATGAGTTCACAGCAAAATAAACTGAAATATGTTGATACCTTTAGTTTCCTTTCAATTTATGTAACATCTGATATTTAATTTAGTGATTTTTCTGATAATCTCCACTATAGAGTACATTTTACAATAAGCTATAGGATTGGCCCCTAAAAATGCATGTTTCAGAGACCCATCTGGCTCCCTAAAAAAAAAAAAATTAAGCATGAGCCTAGTTGTCTCAATACAAAAATACATTATAGAGGGCATTAAAATCATTACTGGAATGTTTTAAATTTTATTAAAGTCCATATATATATTTGACCTGCTAATAGGACAAAACACAATGTGATGTTATAGTTAAGCCTGCATTTCTAATGCCTTTCAAAAGTAATTAAAAATTATATAAACATATTTAACCTGGTGAATATTTATGTGTTTTTATTAGATGTTGGAAAAAGAAACTAAAAATCTTTCATATAGACACTATAGAAAATAAAATGTCCATATCTGAATATCTATATGTTCCATAAAATTCTGTAATACTGATACTGGTAAGAAATGCAACAGTATGTTCATGTTTTCCAGTAACTAATGAATACATTTTGCTATTTAACAAATAAGCATCTTCCTAACCCTAGTCACAGAAATCTAGTGTGAAGCCTACTTCAAGTTATTAAGAAAAGTTCCAAGAATTCAATAACTTCTACAGGAAAAAAGCTGAAACAAAACTTTTTATCACAAACTTCACTGAACTCACATCTGATTTTTTTTTAAGCCATATTCCTAGAACAGTAATGTTTGGGTTACTCTAACATAACATATGGGGAATCTTGGTTTGTGTTACACAAATACAGTAAAATCTCGATCCTAAAATCTCCTGAGCAGCATTTAATCATCACTAACCAACGTCTTTTAGAGAAGATAAACCTGTGACAGTAGTTCCAAAGTACGACATTTTAGATTTTGTTAGTTAGCAAGCAGGGAAAACAAACAATGTAACAAAATTATTCTAGAAAAACTATTCAGTAGTACTTCTGAAACATTTGACTTTTTTTTTTTTTCAAAATATTTAGTTGTGAAATCTTAAAACACAGTCTTCATGATTGCAGCATGAAACCAATCACATCATGATGTACTGACATAGGATACAGAGAAGTTTATATTCATAATCAAAGTTATATCAACATCACACCAGAAACAATAAGCAGTTGTAAAATATCTCAATTTTAAGGCATTAAGTGTGTTTGTTAGATCATATGAATTGCAAGCACACCCACAAGAGGTGATGAGAACTAATGATGATGACTTATGTAGTATGGGAAACATAATAAAACATGTATTGGATTAAGTACAGTTGTCAGATAAGAGTAGTAATTTATTATTTGGGGGGTAAGTCATTATCAAGAACATTCCTTCTATGGGTTTCTCATTGATTACATCCAGACCACCTTCTAACCCACGAATCATTACACTTATCTAATATCTGTACTTGAACCAGTACATCTGCTATTATGTTCCTTGTATTGTTTCCATAGCAAAGCTGGAAAAGTCATGTTTCTTCTAACTCATGAATCATTACACTTATCTAATATCTGTACTTGAACCAGTACATCTGCTATTATGTTCCTTGTATTGTGTAAGTCATTATCAAGAACATTCCTTCTATGGGTTTCTCATTGATTACATCCAGACCACTTCCATAGCATAAAGTTGGAAAAGTCATAAGTTTGGGGTCTGAATGTAATCAATGAGAAACTAATCTTTATATGCGTGTCAAAGGATCATTGTAGAGTGTCAATAAAAACCAAAAATGATCTGCATTTTCAAGGTTTCAGATTTGTATATACTTGTAGATATACACTGTGCAGATAACATAGGTGGGCCAAGCCTGCAAAAAGATTTATGTCCATATTGAATATAGCAAAGTTATTACTAGCTTTGGAGAAGAGAAAGAAATGTGACAAACTGGATAACTCACAGAAAACTGTAAATTTATGGCAGGTATTGATTTATGTAATAAATTCTTATCAAAAGATGCAGAATATTAAGAATCTGTTTAACCAAGACAGAAAAATGTTGGAAATGTTCTCAGTTGAACGAAAGCAAAAAGAGGAAAATTATATTTTAATGAAACTATTCATGAATAAGTACTAATGAGCTGAGGGCAAACTCACAATGAATAACCTACATAGACTGTAATGGTATTGTACAAAAGCAGATAAGAAAAAATGTATATTTCTGAAATGGAAAGAAACAAAATTAAAAAAAATATTTGTTTCACCTAACTTCCTCTCTGTTCAGAATTGATTTTAAGCTATATCCTTCTGGAACTCAATTACAAACACAGAAATACAATACCCACATTCTACATTTTAAAACACATTTGTACATCTTAAAACTATTATCAGATACAGGCAAAAGAAACTTTAGCTATGTTCAAAAGCTAGGGTTTCATATATAGTATTTCGAAAGAAGTAGAGTTTAAATACTTTTTGGTCCAAACTATTCTTATTCATCACAAATATCATTAAAATATTCACCAAATTTTTCCCACATTTTCTTGCTGCTGCTCCCAGAAAAAAGGCTGTTAAAAGATCACAGAGCTGAAAGAGCAAATGACTAGGATGAGTTATTGTTTTACATAAATACAATGCAGTGACAAACTTGTATTATTCAAATAAAGTTAGGGATTACTTGCATTAATCTGTACTAATTATAAAAATCAAAACTATATTTAAAAAATCTATGATTCCTAATCAACCACCATGAGTACATTATTAAAACTGGGACCCATTCATATTGTAAACCTCAAGTATTTGCAATTACATCATTTAAAAAAAGCTGTTAACTATGTAAATATTGGGTCACTTATAAAGGTATGTCATTCAATCAGAATGGGTAATCAGCCTAAAAGATCACTATGCTCTTTGATTGGCTAAGCTGAGTAACACCTGATAATCTGCCTCAATTAATATAGAAATGGATAAAATTATGAAACTCTAAGCTTCTATTTTAAAGTTTGACTGGCAAAAAACCTTAAAAATTAACAAAAAGAACCATTTATGAAACATTAAAAGGACTAAACTAAACACCATACTAGTTATGGACCATATCAATAAAAAATAAAGGGCCATTTATGAAACACTAAAAAGACTAAACTAAATGCCACACTAGTTATGGACCATATCAAATAAAAAATAAAGAGCCATTTATGAAACACTAAAAGGACTAAACTAAACACCATACTAGTTATGGACCATATCAATAAAAAATAAAGAGCTATTTATGAAACACTAAAAGGACTAAACTAAATGCCACACTAGTTATGGACCATATCAATAAAAAATAAAGAGCTATTTATGAAACACTAAAAGGACTAAACTAAATGCCACACTAGTTATGGACCATATCAATAAAAAATAAAGAGCTATTTATGAAACACTAAAAGGACTAAACTAAACGCCACACTAGTTATGGGCCATATCAATAAAAATAAAGAGCCATTTATGAAACACTAAAAGGATTAACCTAAACGCCACACTATTTATGGACCATATAAATAAAAAATATTTTTAATATTAAATTATTCATTAGCCTAACAAAGTAATATAATATGTAATCTTAGATAAAACTAAAGAAACAGAAATCCCCACCATTTACGTCCATATCGGTTCACTTATAATGAGAAACAACCTATGCCGAGTATGAATACTAGTAGTTTGGCCACGAATAATAAAGTACACTAAAAGATTGCAATAGCTACTCTAACATTGCATAAAGTAACACAACAAAATTGAAAATAGATAGAAATTTTCAAGGTGTTACATTGTTATACCGACATTTTTATTGTTAAGGTTCTCATATTTCAACATACTCAGGATAAAGAAAGTTCCTGACATGTTGTAATATAAACACAAATATATTTCTTACACAGAATATGTAGATTGGTAACCAAATCAAAAGAAAGTTTCTGACATCCTGTAACATAAACACAAATATATTTCTTACACAGAATATGTAGATTGGTAACCAAACCAAAAGAAAGTTCCTGACATCCTGTAACATAAACACAAATATATTTCTTACACAGAATATGTAGATTGGTAACCAAACCAAAAGAAAGTTCCTATTTCTTACACAGAATATGTAGATTGTTTACCAAACAAAGTGATATTCCTATTCCTCTTTGTAAAGCAGCAGAAACAGACTAATTACAATGTAATTAAACCAACAAAAAATACAATATGTGATAAAATAGTGTTTTTCACATATAACACTTTAATACATTTTAATCACAGTTTCACTGTATACGATAAAAATTTGTTTTACAAACTTACCACAAAAAGTAAAGAAACCCAGTCAACAATGTATCTCGTCACTATTTCATATAAAAGAAGTGACAAAGGAGACTGAAAAAAACATTATTCATTCTTTTAAAGACATTTTCATGTACAAACATTTTGAGTTACATTAATATCAATATAAGTGGATTCCCAAGAGTCTGACACAAGCATGAAGATTACAGAAACCCAACACTGTCATGTATTATTTCAAATATAAAACTTATTTTCTGTGGTAAAATGGCTTAAACAAAAGAATTTACACAAAGATATTCAATGCATGAACTTGTTTCAAGATGAGAATTAAAAAAAACTATGTGAAAAATGAGTTAACTTTAATTTCAATTAACTACAAAACACTGAAACAGAATTTATAACAGAAAGCTGAATTTTAATAACTGATCTAATTAATGTCAACTACCATATAATATTAAAAAATCTACATAAGTATCTGCAGAAGATATTCCAGGTGAGGGCAAGCCATTGCAGAGCGGGGGCCATTTGTCTTGAAGTTTGAAGGCAACACTCTGGCTGATTATGGCATATTTATGTACATCTAATTTCATCATTTATATTTAAATAGTGCTATTTTCTCATATATTTTTAAATACATTTTCTGCTGAAATTCCAGGGTGGGGACAAATGCCCCAACCCCCACCCCATTCTGCAGACACTGATGAACATTTATATGACAGCAATGCAAGATTATGTTAAGCTTACCTCATGGAACACATCGCCAGAATAAGGAGAAACACCTTGCCTATACAGGTGGACACCTTCTGTAACTATTCATCAAATTATGTGTTTTCAGTTTCACCACACATTTTTTCTTAAATCAAAGTTCCACAAGTTCTTACTTATTTCAATATATAAAAAATACACATTCCTTACTGAAGCTGCTTGGTGAAAAATAATTCTGTACATCTACTAATGTTTTAAAAATCTGCTTAATGACAAAACTAAACTTTGCACTTTTGATAACAGTTAAATAATTTTGATCATATATTTTCTAGTTGACAGTGAACTTTAAGTTGCAGCTTTAGAAATATTCTTTACTAAAAGTGCAAATATGCAGTCTTATTCAAAAGAAGTGATCTGTAAACCTTCCATCATAATTTGTGAGACAAAGAAATAATCACTTTGAGTATGTTGTGTGATGTGGTATAAAAGTGGAGAATAGCTCCAAACATGCCACTGAGTAATTAGAATCCTACACAATCGTTTTCAAGTCTCATATGAGTTAAGCATTCTTATAACTTATTACTTGCTGGAATCAATTGAGCAATATTAAAGGGATAAAAAATACCTTAACTAGTTAAGAGTGAAGTTGGTGTGGTTGTGTATGACTGGTGGATATTAATAATGTGGTTCTACATGACTGGTGGATATTAATAATGTGGTTGTGTGTGACTGGTGGATATTAATAATGTGGTTCTGCATGACTGGTGGATATTAATAATGTGGTTCTGCATGACTGGTGGACATTAATAATGTGGTTGTGTATGACTGGTGGATATTAATAATGTGGTTGTGTATGACTGGTGGATATTAATAATGTGGTTGTGTATGACTGGTGGATATTAATAATGTGGTTGTGTATGACTGGTGGATATTAATAATGTGGTTG